CAGCAACGTTATGAAAAAAAACGAGCTGTGATAGACTGATTATCGCTTTGCAGCTTGTAGTGTAAAAGTCATTACTCAATGAAAAGAGGTTGTGGAGGGCTGCAAGGTATCTCATTTTGAAGAGAAGTCTTTGCTCTATCTTACAGAATGATGGAAAAAATATTTGCATTAGATTTTTAAAAAGTAGGATTTTGGAGATCCCGAATTTCTGAGAAAGCTTTTTTTCTAAGCAGGTTAAAGTTAACTTGAAACTTTTTGAATAATACATATATATCTACATCGAAGTCAGCGCGGTACGAACCTATCCTCAGATTTATTGTAGCTACTAGGGTTCACGAGAAAGAGCAAAAACAAGTTTCTCTCTAAACGTTTTTCTATTACTTTACGCTTATTCACTTGAAAAAAGAGAGCTTTTTGACGAAAATTAATAATGTCGACCTTACTCCTGACATCTTGCTGATATTTCAATATGTTTTTAAGAATATATTCTTAATCAAAACTTTACGGTGCGTCTTTTGAAATATGTCAGAAGAATCATATGCCAGTGAACGTGATCAATAACTCATGGAATCATCCCTCAGAACGGAAATCTTTGAGATAATAGTATTAAACCTTATCGCACTGGCTGATGATAGAAAATTGCTGAATGTGGATTGGAAATTATGACAATGGTATATTGCAAAGAGGAATGTTATGGTTGCTACAAATAATATTAGATATTATCCAATTAGTAAGTACTAAATATTAAAACAACTGACCCTGAACAAATTAATTTTACAAGCAATGAACAAATTTTTGCTTCCTCTGTTTCATCAGATCAATATGTGTTATTCTGAATCAACGAAGCACAATATCCGTCTGTAACAATGTCAATTAAGGCTAACATTACAAATAACATTTTCATTTTAAAAAATTTTAAAAAAGTCTATATTAATAATAGAATGAGAAAAAAACAACAACAAATATTTGTGAACTGGAAATATGGAACGACATTTATCAAAATAAAATTTTTCATGTTTTTTATTTTCTATTGTGTAAAGAAAGCTACGAATAAGATTATGTTGTGTTCATAATAAAATCATCATATTGTATGAAATTGAGCATTTAGATGTTGACGAAAGTAGATCATAAGTCCTCTTTTGTATTGTTAAGAGCTGATACAGTATCGTTTATGGTTGATAGAATTGTGGATTTTAATGATTTTTTCTTTGAACTCTTCTTGTCTTTGCCACCTCTTTTTTTACCTTTACGATCTGACGATGGTTTTTTTGTTATTTCAGCATGTTCCTCAATTTCTTCTTCCGTATTGCCTATGGAATAAAAATAAAATTTTTGTAATAATAAATAAATTTTCGGTTAAAAAAGATCATATTACCATCTTTGCATTCTTCACTACATTCTTCTTTGTGTTTTGATGGACAATTCATTCGTTGTATACATTTCTCATACGTTAGAAATTGATTTGCCTTAGTTTTAGCTATTACTAGAAATGAATAAAAGCTTTGTACTTTTCAATTAGTTAATTACAAAAGTCAATTTGAGAACTATTCATGTTAACGGTCAAGTTTTATGTTTATCCGTCATAACGTTATACACTTAGAAGGTGATATTAGAAAAAACATGGAAAAAAACACTTACATCTTTCTGTATCTTTTTCTTTAAGATCTTCGTGTGATTCTTCTAGTTCTTCGACTCTTTTTCGTTCGAGTTTTCCATTTGGTGAAGTTGTGTCTGCTGTACAATTTATCAATGTACTAACATAGGCAATTAACAGTAATATAATGGTTGTAGATTGATGTAGTTCCTAGACGAAAACATTATACATGAGCTGTTCTTGTTTATCCAAAAATGTCATATAACAAGAAAGATTTTTAAGTACTAATATGCTATCATGAGTATGTTAAGTATTTAGTATATTAAATGTGTCGTAAAGTTATTCTTTTGACAGTTTATAATTAATTTTTTCTTTTTAAATTTTAAAAAACAACAAAAACCTATAAAACATACCATATTTCTAATGCTGCGTCAGGAAGGTAATAAAAATTATATGTAATATTTAAAAAACGTTTGCGGTTTAGACTAGTTTTTTACTTTTTCTTCCTTCTACCTTTTTCTCGCTTGACTGTGTCCGTTTTCATGTTTTTTTGACCCTTGATACTTCATTTAGGGTGAAAAGTGTAGATAGCATGACATTTTTGTTAATGACGACCGTAAAGGAAAAAAAAATATTTTGCATGTATAATGGAGATATATGTATAGGCTCGAATGATGGTTCCCCACTTGATCATAAGCATATAATATGTTCTTCTCGTTTTTCTTTCTCTCTCGGAGGACAATAAATTATGTAGATGATTAAAATGATTATAAAATATGTGTACGTGTGTATGATACTGTATAAATGCTCTTTAAAGCGTAACGACAAATATCCGTCTGTGTACAAGTAGTGCACAAAAATAATATTCATTTTTCTTTCGAGTGAGAAATACTAGAGACATGTTATATTGCATAAACACTAGCCTATCAGTACTACCATACAACAATCATTCTGACAAAAAAAGATTATAAAATAATATGTTTGATTCCTATTCTTCATTTAACATACATTTACAGGTGTTCCTATTAGTCTGAAAATGAAAACAACGATTAACTGAAAAGCAAAATAGAAAGCTAGAGGAAGAGAGAGAGAGAAAGACAAGACGAAAAATAGTTTAGAATATAAATTCATAGATTTCTTGAGATATAATTCTGTAGTGTAACATTTTTTCGTATTTAGGTATGTACATGGTCGTTTCATCTATATACATGAGAAACTACCATCAGTCCTTAGTTGATCAATTATTTTTGTTTATTTGTAATGAATGTGCAAAAGCATTTTTCTCACTCAAACTAATCAACTAAAAGAGTATGCTGAATCTTCCAAGAAATAATTTAACTCCTAATAACATCTATTTCATTCATTGAATTTCTTCTCCCTCCTCCTCACTTATTCTTTTGTGATTTAGAGAAATTATTGATTGTCAAGAAAGCATAAATGGGTAAAGATTTTTATGATGTGTTGGGTATAACGCGTACGGCAACCGATGATGAAATAAAACGTGCTTATAAACAAAAAGCGTTGAAATGTCACCCAGATAAAAATTGGGAGCCAGATGCTGAAAAAAAGTTTATGGACATTTCCGAAGCATACGAAATTCTAAGTGACATAAATAAACGTTCAATCTATGATCGTTATGGAAATGAAGGTTTAAAAGATTATACATTATGGAATACATTTGATTCACGTACAACGTATAAAAATTTGTTTCCAAATGGGGACACAGGAACACCGCATCCCAATGGAGATGATTATTATGACGGAAATTATTGTATTAAATACAAAGATCCGACAACATTTTATGATTTATATGTTACATTAGAAGAAGTGAATAATGGAGCAATGAGAAAAATGAAAATAACACGCAAACGATATAATCAAGAATTAAAAACAGTTGTTAAAGATGAAAAAGTTCTTGAAATACAAGTTAAACCTGGTTGGAAAGAAGGTAAATGAATAACGCGTTATAATGTTCTTCATCGTTTGACCAACTCGATGTATCTAAGATTAAGAAAAAGTGCTAAAAATCAATAGTTACTGTTGAACATTTGTGTCATTTTTTTAGGTACAAAGATCACGTTCGAAGGTGAAGGGGACGAAGGAGATGCTCGTACGTTAGCGGGTGATATCGTGTTCATAATTCGAGATAAAGTGCATCCAACATTCGAACGTTCGAATTCCGATTTAATTTATCGCGCTAAAGTAACAATAAAACAAGCGTTATTAGGAACAGTAATACAAATACCATTTTTAAACGCACAAAAAAAATCATATCCATTAAAAATGCAAGAAATCATTACACCACAAACAGAAAAACATTTTCTAAATGAAGGATTACCATATCCAAAAGACTCAACTAAACGTGGATTATTAATTGTCAAATTTGACATTATTTTTCCCAAACTATTGAGTGATGAACAAAAAACCCTTCTTGACTATTGTTTTCCAAATTCAATTGATTTTTATCAAACAAGTGTAACTGACATAACAACGATCGATGAACAACAACGACAACAGCAACAACAACAGCAGCAACAACAACAGCAACAACAACAACAACAACAGCAACAACAACGACAACAGGAGCAAAAAAAACAACAGCAACAAGAACAACAACAGCAGCAACAAGAACAACAACAAGAGCAACAGCAACAACAACAGCAGCAGCAAGAGCAACAGAACAACAATCATCATCGATTTAACCACTATAATGCTCAGCATACACCACCGACACAAAGAAGTCAAAAGTCTCAGAATAAACATCATTACCAAACGAATGGCACTGCATCACCTTCTACATGTCCTACAATTAATGTGAATGAAACAATAGAACAACAACAAAAATCGCCACCCAATCGTTCAGATCAAGTGAAACCATCAACAAACCATTCATCAATTTCTCCTAGTCATAGTGTTATGCCACCCTCACCAACTATTTCTTCAAAGCTAATGACTGTTACAAACGGAATAAAACAATCATCGATCATCAATGAAGTGTCCTTCTGAGTGTATACTGGTATATATTTTCATGTATAGAACGTTTCTTCTCATAATTACAAAATTATTATTCTCATTAATTTACCGTTAAAATATCGTTTGTATAGACTTTCTTAGAATATTTTGTCATTAAATTACATACAAGAGACGCTCGTTCTTTGCTTACGTTGTTATCAGACAAGCGAAACACCAAATTAGAAAAAAAACACTCATATGCACACACTAATGCATGGTCTCGAGAAATAAACAAAATAAAACGTATTGGAACAAATAAAATGGATTGGCCCATGTTAATAGACTAGATCTATGTCACACTTGTCAGATAACCTTATATGAGGAAGATAATGATACCAAGTGTACTTTGAATAGTGATGATTTTTGTTTATGTGCTTAAAAAAGCATGAGTAGTGAACACATATATATTAAGCGAGAAACACATTCAAAACTTTTGTTAGTATTCTAAACAACTATCACTTTTGTTATCAAACTAAGTATCATTACATTACATTACATGTAAGCGACTAGCATATTTGAGATTCCGAAATAGTAGTAGTGACGATGGTGGTGTATAAGGAAAACAACATAATCTATATATAAGAGTCTGAATTTTCTGAGCTTTAGCGACAATTTACGCTTCGATCTTTTTAGATGCTAAACAATTAATAATTTTTTTAATTCTTTTCTTAGAATTAAATCGAGGATCACTCTCAATTAATACTAGTCCATTTTTCAACTGAGTAATCTGATACAGGTGTATTCGATGACGGGTAATGTCTATTATTTATCAACTCCTGGCACATTAGAGAAGACGCCTACTAATATTGTTTTACCACTTACCATGAATTATTTTAATTTTATTTGATCTGGTTCTGTTGTATAAGGAGATTATATTAGTCTAAAAAAACCTATAAAACATTCTAGTTCTACATCTAAATTTACATTTTACATAGATAAATTAGTTGGAATGCTGGTACAATCAACATATACATTTAACCCTTAGATAGAAAAAATTCATGGTATAGACATAGACATAAACATCCATATATAACAAACAGAGTAGAGAAGAAAAAATGGAATAAGAATCAAATATTATTATCATTACTGAATAAAAAGAAAGTATTTTTCTCTTCACCTAAGCCAAAAAAATTTATCTTAGTTGTACACTCATAACATGTACAAATAGACATAGGACAAAAAAAAATAATGAAGAGACAGTCTGCTCTATTCATATATAAGATTTTTTATACAAAAAACAAGATAATAATAAACGTTTTTTTCTGCACACATATAGTTGCGGTAGAGTGAGAGAAAAATATTTAGTCATACAGTTTCATTCAAGGTTTTAATCTGTCATCAGCCAAACATATATCATGTTATTACTGTGTATAAGCTGTGAGCATTCCATAGAGCTTCCAGATATTGATTACTTTTGTTTTGATACTGGATATGTGCATACGTACATATTGGTCGGACAAAATCGATATGGATTCAATAAAAGAAAAAAAATACATAACAAATATAAAAGTATTTAATTCGATGTATTTTGCTTAAAAAATGAAAATTAGCCAAACTAACCATAAAAAATGCATATATCCTTCTACAAAGTTCTACAGAAAAAGTCTGTGTATTAACAATTATTTTTTCTAGAATAACTAGACATATGAAAACAAGTTTATCAACTGACAGTGATTGATATCTTGTCAACATTTTACTTATGACGTTAATATGTGAATAGAACAAAAACAATTCTTCTAATAGTGAAACATGTACTAACAAACGAAATTATATTTTCCGATTCTTTTCACACATAATTTTTTATCTACAACTTGAATGACAATATCATCTGTTGATGTAAATTCAAACCTAAATATCCACACTTAAAATTACTCTTTTTAAGAATTATTGTAATAAAAACATATCATTTAGAAATAAAATGTTTTCTTACCTTTCTCATCGGGTCGAGTTGACAAACTCGCTCTTTAGTCAGTAACACAGTATTCTTAAATGTTGGACGATGCCTTAGTATATGATATGTAAAGAATCGTTTTTTTAACTATCATAACCAGAGATCTCAAATCTTCTGACTTTTGGATCTTTTTCTGTCTTATTTCAGTCTGTTCTAAGGTCTTCTAGTTCTCTGATTTTGAACTTTTAATTTCTGATTTTCATGTTGTTTTGAGCCTGGTATTCTTGATCATAACTGTAAGTATTACAAAAATTGCATGTAAGAAAATTTGTCTTGCTCTTTAGGCATCAATGATACTCTGAGAAAATCGTAAAAATTAGTGTGAACAAGGTAAACACCATAGTCAGAAACTTAGGAAAAAAAACATTTGAAAGAGAAATGCTGCTTTGTAAAATATTTCTGAGGAAGAACATGATCTAAGCTCTAACATTCAAGTCTCTTAAGGGGGGTCCCCCCATCCGTTTTTTTCCAGAAATTTGTGGAGGACATTTCGGAGTATATGTCGTTCCCGGATTTATAGTTTTTGATAAAAAAAATTTTAAGTTTTTTCGTGTTTTTTGCCCTATTTTTAAAACTTCAATAAAAACTTCATTTTTTGATATGAAGAGTTGATTCTAGCGTAGTTCGATAGAGAACATTAATTTGTATACAGAGAAACCCTTTTCATCGTTCCCGAATGAAGTTTGTCGCAGAAATGTAGCGTTCGCCTTCCCGAGGAAACTTCAGAGCTAAAAGTATTTTTCACCTCGCCTTACGGCTAGTTTCGCTCGAAGCAAGCATTTCGAAGCAAAATTCTGAGTGCAAAAGTTGTTCAGAATCGAATTTTGGAGTCCCTGACGAGAGC